AGGTTTCATTGAGTACTTTAGGATGCGAACTTGTCAGCCGCCTCTCATATGAACTACGCAAGCAAAAAAAGGCCATAAGTAAGGGCAAATGATTGGTTGAGTGGTCGCACTTGTGATTGGTGTACAATCACTTGATCGAAAACAATCGCTAAAAATTTGAGATTTTATTATTCATTTTCATGAACCCAAAAGTCTCCCCGTTTCTTACTGGAAAATTTTTTAAAAAGCAATAAATCGATTTTTGGTATTTTTTTTTATTCCCAACCGCGAAGTATAAACGGCAACTGTCGTATTTGTTTGAAGAAAGGTGTTTTTTGGCATTCAGCTGGGAGTGGCAAGCAATGAATATTTCAAATTTAATATTTCCTCTAATGAAAAATAGAAACAATAAGCCCCGGATGATAACCGTGTCTGCCAACGTTGTCAGGATCATGGTTTTACGGCATGCAACTGGAATGTTTGTTCTCTAAACCGGGAAGGGGTCGCAGCTCAGCTGAGTCTATTGTTCTTGTAAAGATCGAAAAATTAAAAAAAAGCTTAACCTTAAAACGGTATTGTGAGAATGCAACATCCATTTTTCTCGTGCCACCATCTTGATGATGATTAGAGTACAACTTGGTTTGCTGCAGTTTACAGTTTACAGTTTACTCAAAAAGTATTTTCGCGCCAAATTTTCAAGGATGGCTTCATTAAAATACTTTGAATGCCTTCTTAAGAGCATTTGGATCGCATTACTAAATAAATATTCTTCGCCCTCGTGCACTTCTGCAACCGGCAAGAGGAGAGGCATGCAAATACAAGTATGTGGGTTGAATATTAATTACCGTCATAAACTGCATGATGCCTCAAACTTTTCAATGCAATGCCGCTCGCATTTTGCCAACTTGTTAATGATGCTGCTATAAATTTTATGCTATGCGCTGAAATTATGTACTAACTGCACCAATGCCAACAGCAGTAATAACAGTAACGTACAATAAAACAGATACCACAAGCACACGCAATAAAAGCAACAACAAAAAACAAAAGCAATGAATTGACATAACGCAGAGCAAATGCCGAAAAGTGTTTAAATTTTCAGATCATCATTAACATTGTAATTGACTTGTTGTTGCTGTTGTTAGAGTAGCAAATAATTAGCCGCACACCGAAGCCCCTGCATTTGCACTTACATACACATACACATTCATATGTAGAGCTGATTGGAAATACATTTATTAAATATCTATTAAAATTCAGTTGCAATTTGGCTCTTTGCAAAGTAACCCTGCGGTGAAAAGGTAGACTAGTATGCAAAAACACTAGTTGGCAACTAGTGTTATACATATTTCCAAGATGAAACCATATGACTTCGTTAAGGTGTTATGACTTTTAAAGTACAGTTAACACAAGAACTGACGATGGTCGATCATCAACAACTTCGTATCTTGCGGTTTAGGACCTTAAAATACATGAAAATGATTCGGAATTTCACCGAAAAATCAACATCCACTTCGATGGCTACATCAATAAGCAAAACTGTCGCATCTGGGGCTCGGTAAACACAATCGGTATCCTCAACAAGTAACTATTTCGTGCGGTTTATGGTCCAGCGGGGTCCATATTTTTTCCAAAATTAGGCTGGAGCAACAGTTACGGTGAATGGACTGCGCTATCGAGAGATGAATTATTTGTTTTTTGATCTGGACAACGTTTAATTTCAACAAGACGTGCCGCAAAAGCAACGAAACCATCGAGGAGGTGATTGAAATTTTCCAACGTGATCTAATGATTTAGCAGCTTGTGACTTCTTCTCTTGGAGTCTCGAGAAAGTGTATGTCTACGGCAACAGACCAGCGTCGATTCATGAAATCAAATATAGAATTGGTCAAGCTATTGAGGGTATACAGCAGCCACTTTGCTATTTTGGTTATGGAAAATTTCAGAAAGGGTATACGGTCCTCTAAGCGAGCCGAGCGGCAATATGGCTGAAACTATTTTCTATAATTATTGGCATAAATTTTTATTCCCCTCGAGAAATGTTTTTTTCTTTGTATGTTATAGTAACACTTCTTATTGGAAGACCTTATATTTTGAGGATAAAATCATACGAATTGTAGAGCAGTTTACCAGAGATGAGAAAAGTAAAGACCCGTTTCCTCCAATAGCACGAAATGTGGGCGAAGTAACTCCCGTTCAGGTAGTTTTTTGACCAATTTGTACAGCGAGTTCTTAAAATCGGTTAGTTATCGGATGAAAAAGCTCACTTACATCCTCGTCAAGTGCTCTTCTTTTCCATTGAAGCTCAATTTCACATTGGCGCCTACTGTGATAAGCAATGCGGCGGGACTCAAATAATCCCCACGTAGCCACGGAAGAGCTAATGCATTCTCAACGAGTGACTCTTTGGTGCCACGTGTGGGCCAGCGGCATTATTGGTCCGAGGTAGGAGCTGCCATTACTGCCAGCTTCGATCTTTTACCGTACCATGCTCAGAGATTATTTGCTTCGAAATGTCAAAGGGAATGATATGAACGATTCATGGTCTCGACAGACGTTGTAATCGATCTATTGCGAGTTGTATTCGAAAATCTCAGAATAGCCGAAGCGGTGATGTCCATAAACTGCCTCGCTGCTTCGAATTGGCAACGTTGTACAATTTTTTGTGTTGAGCTGTGGGGAATAAATGTTGCGGCAGTCATCTAGAGGCAATTCATGACTTGAAACACGAAATCGAAGTCGTCATTGAAGGCGTCACAATCGAAGATGTGCTGAAAATTTTGTCGACGGAAAGTACAGAATGGGCAACTCCAAGCCAGGCGCGGCAGTCATATGTATAAAGTGGTCTTTCATCACAAGCCAGAATGTTCAGGCAATCCAATAGAGCCAAAACTATTGACAAACATTTTATTATTATATCGTATTTATACCGTACATTAGGGTAATTCCATTTTTGATGCGGTCTGTGGAGGTACTATGTCTTTACTCGTTGCACCGTCATGAGAGCTGCATGGTTTGTGGTAGTCACTGTGTGTGAGATTGTGGTTCGAGTCTCGTTGCAATTTTATTTTTATTATTTTTAAAAAAATTTTTTTACTTTTTGAAGTGTTTTACTTACAACATGCATTAATGCACTGGTATTTAACTGGTATAAAGCTGAAGTTTCCTGTTTCCTGTGTGCCAAAAAAATGGACACTCACAGATTACATGCTCCACTGGCTCCACTTGGCACTTTCCTGCACTTGTCAGTTGTCCCTAGTCAGACCGACATATATTAAAGCATGCAGCAGCGGTTTGGAGCTTGTCCTCTTAGCGGATAGTACAAATTTTTTAGTTTTAATATCACTCGTTTTACCCACCCTTAGCTCGTTTGCAGAGTCTATTCGCCTGACGAAGTAGTATTTACTTTCTTATGTTTGACTTCTCTGAATGGAACTGGAATGTTCGTTACTGTGTTCGGTTCTAAATAGACACTTTCCTTAGCCAATTTGTCGGTTATCTCGTTACCTTCAGTGCCGGCGTGGCTTTGTAAATGTAAATTATTTTCAGACAGCACTTTAATCACCGATTTAGTTAGTGCAACCACAGCGGAATTTATGGCCGCTGCACTACCGACATACATAGTTGTGTATTCTTTTCCTTTAAAAACCAGCACATTGCAGTAGCAAATATTTCGGCTTGGATAATGTAGTAGCTTATACCGCTTTCTTATCTCCAGTTGCGCATAGTAAACTGAAGCTTCCACTCCGTCATTCATTTTAGAATCTATAAAAACCTAGAGAGCTTTTTCTGCATATTTCAGACCTTTGCTCCAGTCATTCGCCTCTCCTACACCGACCGGCAAAAATCAACTTTTTTTGACTTACGTAAAAGTCAAACATTTTCGCAAACTGAAAACAGCTTGCTGAAAGTTAGGTGCGGGATTACGTAGTCTATTCGTACGCTCAGGGGTAATGCAATACTACTATGCTCTTAAGTCATGACTTTCAGCTTCTGGGAAGCATATGACCTCTCTTGCCATGATCTTCAATCGCCAATGGCCAATGGGACACTAGAGTCACAAAAGGAGTGTGACAGTGCAGATATGTAGGTTGCAACAAAATGCATGTGAGATCCCATGGGTCAGCCAACTCAACCTAACCCAACCTAGTATAACGGTGATCATAGTCTCAAAGTCGATTGTACGTAAATCATGGCCTTGTTAAAAATTCCAGTTGTTAATATCGAAAAATGATAGAAGATGAATCAGTCAGTGTAAAATTGCAAACTAGTTCGATTTCAATTAACTACTGCAGGGAATCGCCACAGCTCTCTTACACGCACACACACACACACACACAGGCACCCTCACCCACTTGGCAACCTGCTGAGCAACACGAGCAACAAATTGGATTCGATATTGAAATATTTATGACTAGATATTTGAATGTGAAACTGTTAATAGACTTGGATGATTTGCTAATATTTATATACTGGTGCGTACATATGTATTGTATGTACCTACATTTGTATGCATGCGAGAGTGTACGCTTGTATGCGCATCAAGATCATTTACCGATTTTCCGCTACTCAATTTTTCATTTAAAAAATCTGCTTCCTCTTCAAAGTGTCGGCGGAGTCACATTTAAGTTTGCAACTACAATTATTTGTATACATACACATACATATATATGTATTTGTACGAGTATTTGTATATATTTGTATGCATGTATTTACATTTGCAAGTTATTTTGTAATTATTAATATTTTACCACTACACACATACACACATACATACATACATTGATTTCCACTTCATGAAAAGATTTTAATTTTCGGTGTTAAGCCATTCATTCATAGAGTAATACAATACATACATACATACCTATACACAACGCGCACATAGTTTACCCTACTCTTTGACCAAGTAACATAAATATATATGTTAGTATCTATTATATGTATGTATGTACATACATATGTACTTAAGTAATAGTGGGTCGCAATTAAAATCTTCGCGTATAAATGCGAAAACTTTGACAGCTGTTCACTCAAAATTAATTTGAATTTTAAAGCATCCACAACGTGCTAACCGTTATCGTTAGATCGCAAGCTAAGTTAAAAGAAAAGAAAATGTTTAAATTCGTAAGTGCCAACTTCATATATAATATGTACATAAAAAGACAGTTACAAAGAATTAAAACCGTTGCTTCAGCTAAGTTTGAGCCAAAGTGAAAATTTCGTTTTTTTTTTTATTCAAATATGCCTATTTGAAATGTGTTGTTGTTTTTTTTTTTAAAGAAAGTAAAATTGTGATATTGAACCCGAAAAAAAAAAAAATTAATTATGGTACCAATAACTGCTCGTATTTACAGTAAAGCGCGCCGAATACTAACCTATACCCACTTGCTATAAGAAGAACGAATTCAAAAGTTTCGATAAAATACAATAAATTATTTTTAACTAAATTTAACAAAATAAAAATAATACAATAAAACAAAATAAAACAATTTTTTCGAAGAAACACAATTAATTTATATTTTCACGTTTGTGAGTTAATTAAATTTTTAATTTATTAATTAAATTATTTATTCAATTTATGAAAACTAGTCCAATGGCAAGTTTTTATTTGGTTTTTATTAATTTTCTTTAGCTTTTATGAATATGAAATGGTACATCAACTTTGCCTCGCAGTATGTAGGGTCTTTAAAACTCACACCGACATGATCGGGAACGAACTGAGACGATCTTTAGATCTATTTGGTTCCTGCGGGTAAGGGATATAAGAGTTTTAAGCACGATAAGACATACCTATTGGCGGCCGCAATAGCCGTGTGGTTAGCACCAATAAACAAAAATTATAGAAAACTAATTTTCATAGCTATGGTCGGCCCTCGGCAGGGAATGGCAAGCCCTCCGAGTGTATTTCTGACATGAAATAAAAACTCCCCATAAAAATCGATCGGTCGTTCGGAGGCCGCTTAGAATAAACTGTAGGTCCGTCCATTTATTGGAAAAACAAGACGCAAAACTACTAATTGAAGGAGTAGCTCGACAGAAAATCGCTTAAGAGGTAAAGCCGCTCTAGTGGTTGAAAAATGGGCTAATGCTTTTTTAAAATTTTTGGGGGAATATGGGGAAAAAATAGAATATATATTGAATTATAAAAAAAATATTCTCTAATTATCATCGGTGGACTTTCCATTATTTAATTCATGTTTTTTTTAAAAGGCGTCCACGGGAGAACCGAGATCTTCTAAATAATAGAATAGAAAAACGAGAAGTTTTTTGATCTACAAACTATGGTCTTTGGAAGTACGTACGGATTTATTTTTTTAGCTATTTTTTTTTTGGATTGGATAGAGCCACACTAATATTTCAACCGTGAGCATGTTTTCATGTCGATATGTATTTCAACGAAGCTAATGCGTCAACTTCGGAAGGCTCGGGTTCAAGTCCCGGTGTCCTATTAACATCCAAAAACTTATAGATAATTATTTTAAGTAAAAAAATAAGTTATATTTTCTAATTGCAGTCGCCCCTCGGCAGGGAATGTCAAGCCCTCCGAGTGTATTTCTGGCATGAAATAAAAGTTTCTCATAAAAATCCATCGGTCGTTCGGAGGCGGTTTAGAATAAACTGTAGGTAACTCCATTTATTGGAAAAACAACAAGAGGCAAAACTACAAATTGGAGGTGTAGCCCGGCATCAAATCGCTTAAGCGGTTATATTTATACGAATATATAGGGCATACTTATTGTAAGAGGTGGCTAAAATTCAAAAGTTCCCCCGACAATCGAGTCTTTGCACCGGAACGAACCAGAATTTTATTCGATCAATTGCGGATACTCCCGCGCAGTATACTCAAAAAACCACTTTGGGAAATATTTTTTGCGGCTCCAACAACAACATCTACCCACCTCCGCCTGTTTGACAGTTTTTAAGATATTTCAATTAGATTTGGTATGCAGCTGTAATTCTGTACTGCTTAAATCATAAGTTGGAACCAACTAGCTTGAGGGGTTATATAATTTAATTCCCATAAAATTGTCAGATTTGTCATCTCGTATAATGATTGAGCCTCTAAGAACTTGAAATTCTGATTGTGTTGAGTTGAATTTAGTTGATGCGGTTGTTGGTTAAAGTCCAATGTACTTATGTAAGTCCATTGTGATACTGAAGTGAAGTAGATCCTGCTACCTTCACAATAGATTTTTGATATCATGATGAAGTTAGCTTTGCGAAACAATCGGATAGTAAAGCTGGACAATAACTAGGTTAGTATTCAGCAGTCCCTCTTCTCTTCTACTTTATTTATTGTATAACTGCGACAAAAATCACACCTCGTAACCGCTGAAGCGATTTTAAGTCGAGCCTTTCCACCAAAAATTTGTGGTATGCGCCTTGGAACGATCAATGGATTTTTAAAAGGAGCTTCTTTTTCATGTTTTCTGGATTTTTAAAAGGAGCTTCTTTTTCATGTCAGAAACACAAGCGGACGGGTTGACATTCTCTGCTGAGGGGCGAGAGCGTTCAGAAAAATTAATTTTGTTTTAATCTTATAATCTTAGATATTGTTCAAACCAGGACCTCCGAAAGTCATAGCACAATGCCAACGCGCTCTCCTATTGCGGGTGTTATTATTTTGCCCTGAACCCCCATCAAACAGTTCCCGAAGGTTTCAAGTTTTTTCATCCAACGCTGTCCATGTAACTGAAATTCATTTAATTTTTTTCATTGAAGATCAGGTTATGTCTTTTGCCATAGACAGAGGTGTGTCCGTTTAGTGTGCATGATTTCTTGTGGTTAGAAGTGTTCCTCCCTTCACAAACTCGTACACCGCACATTTACCAGATGTATCTCTACGTCGGAACATCCAGATCACGCTTGTACATCGTGGTATAATTGCATTATGGAGATCTAATGGCGGCTAGGCTATCAGAATATATTGTAATTGATGGATTTGTGACCGTAAATGCTAGCAGCCTTTCGGCGGCTTCCACGATCGCAATAAGTTTTGCTTAGTAGATGCTACAACGGTCCATTAATATGATGTTCAATTGAGAGCGTCTGCCATCGGAATTAGAGCCACTTTTGAAAATGAGTAGGGTTCTCTATTACGTTTGTGTTTTCACATTCTTGCCTGTCTGGTATTCTTTTGGTCTGCAGACTGTCAAAGCAGAAGTTGAAGTTAGTGTAGTTAGAGTTTCGGAAATTGTGCGATATAGAATATTTGGGCATACCCTATACTGCTTTTCCTCCAAGCGTTTAATGTAATTATGTTTCAGCTCGCTTTACAGACTTTAAGGGAGGAAATTAAGGTGAGTTTCTAGTGTTTTTATGGGTGTCAATGGTAGAGCCCCGGTTATAAGGATAGCGACACACCGTTGAATTCTCTATAGTTTGCTCCTGCAAGTAGTGTAATAGGATGGGTCTAACCACCGCTGTATATATCCCGTGGCCTGTATTCGGCTGCAGACTTTATTTCTTGCCAATGACCGCCTAATAAGCTTATTAAATTTTCAAAGAAATAAACTAGTTATGAAAATTCCACGCTCATAATTATTCGCTTTACACAAATATACGAGGTCGGTTTATTTACTGGCAACTGTACTTTCATAAATATTTACCTAACACTGTAGATACCCATTTCAGAATATCATATTCCCATTTTTTTCTTTTCATTCCATTTTAGTTCGCTCCCATCGTCGCCGCCCTCTGCGTTTCCTCGATTTGCCTCGCAAATGCCCTACCCGCCGTTAGTGGCCTGTACGGTGCTCCCTTACATGGTGCCGGTGGCTCTGCTGCTGGCCGTGGAGGCGCTGGAGGAGCCAGTAGTGCTGATGCTCATGCCGAAATACGCAGCTTCACCAATGATCTGAAAGAAGATGGCAGCTACAATTATCAATTCGAAACCAGTAATGGCATTTCGGCACAAGAGTCTGGTGTTGGCGGTTATTATGCCACCGGCTCATCACAATACTATTCTCCGGAGGGTCAATTGATTCAGCTTACATATACTGCCGATGAGAATGGTTTCCAACCGCAGGGCGCACATTTGCCCACACCTCCACCAATACCAGAGGCTATCCTTAAATCTTTGGAATACATTCGCACCCATCCACAGCAGGAAGAGCAGCAACAGTACGGTTCGCAGCAAGCTCGGGGACACGCAGCGGCTCCACAACAACAGTATGGCGCACCTTATCGTAAATATTAGGTGTAAAAACTTATGAAGAGAACGAAATATTTATACGTGTATGCTCGATTGTATGACTCATCCTTAACGCTCGTTAAGGTAAATGATTTGAAAGCATATGAAATTATAATGAAACCGTTAAGTAGTGAGGTCGAATTTGTAATGTGGAGATTTTTATATTTACTTGTGATAGAATGGCAGATTGAAGTTGACATGGTTACAATGAAGCTATGCTCACCGCTTTGTTAGTTTAATATAAATATGTACATACACACATACATATATATGCATAGTGAATATAACTTTTTTATTGAATGTTTAAATCTTTGTTTTATTTTATGGCCATGTTGAGGAAAGTCAAGTTTATTTATAGGGCTCTTGTCCATTCCAACAGGAAGCGTCAAAAATAGATCCCAACCTTCTGCATACTTTTGAGTTGAGTTGAGTTGTTGCGGCAGTTGGTCAGTAACCAATATACTTAAGCCAATAGGTTACCTTCTCAAATGTTCGATCCTTTTGGTTTGTCTTGTAAAAGCCAAGAGATTGCCAATATTCATTGAAACTAGCTCAGCGAGATAATCGAAGTTCCCGAGGAACTTGCGTTGAGCAGACGTCTAAGCTGGACAGTGACAGGGAAAGGTGGTGGTGGTGTACAATAGAAACTTTCTTTTCCCTACAGCTGCGGCAAAAGAAATTTGAGCGGCAGCCCATTCTTATCTCGGCTTGGATGTTTTGATATCCCTTTCCAATTTTGGGCACAGCCGTCTGGTTACGTTGCACGTGATCTAATTCAGCCATCTAGAGTTAACCAGTTTTAGTATATACTCGTACTTCGCCGTGGACAAAGGTAAACCTCCATCCTATGCATGTTTATTTGTGGATAGAAGGGTAACTTACTTTATTCGTCTGCCGTACATTTGCATGGAATGTCAATGTGTCCGAGGTGTTACTGTTACATTATAGAGATCTGATGGCAGCTTGACTGTCGGAATATATAGCAACCGTCTGTCCTTCTACAGGAGTTTTGAGCAGCCACTCGACGACCATGATTGCAAAAAGTTCTGCTTGGAAGACGCTACAGTGGTCTAGTGGTCTCAAGCTTACATCAGAGAGTGGATTCCATAGTCTATTTTTTCAACGAGCTTTGAGCCGTCTGTAAGGATGTTTATGGCTTTCTAGTCGAAAATGTTTGTGTTTCCTATTCATTTCTGTTTGAGATTCTCGTGGAAGAAAGATTGGAAGTGGTGTAGTCCAGGTCCTTCAGATATAATATATTATTGTGCCCTATACTGCAGTTCTTCCAGAAATGAGTTGCATTCAATCTATTCGCGTTGCAACTCGCTTGTTATGTCACGTACAGATCCAGTAGAAGGAAGTTGAGAAGAGTTGTTAGTGCTTCTGAGGGAGTTAATGGGAATGCTCATATTACCGAGATAACACCCGAACGTTGTACTTTGTCTCATTTCGTCTTGTGCCGGCCTATCGACGTTTTGTAAGCCTGAAGTGAAGCTATAACTTCCTCGATCTTTCTGCCGTGTTCCGGCTCCAGTTGAATTTGCTATCTAAGATTATGCCGAGATATTAGGCTGTGTTAGAGAGGGTGAGTTCCACGCACTTTATGTAAGCGGCATAAAAGGAGGTGGTTTGTTCCTCCTGGTAAATAGAACTATTTTGGTGTTTGCTGTGTACCTTTACTGTTGTTTCATTTTGTTTTGTCTTGCCCTACTGCTTTTTGACAGTTTTTCCATTCAGCTTGTTCTATTCAAGATATATAGGTCATGGTGTCAGTGGATCTCTATATGTGTATCTACCTCTTTGCGTCCACCAAACTGAATTAGCATCTTCGAGTTTGAAGTACTAGTGATAGAAAACGGCTGTAGGTCTCTAAATAATATCTTTAGGAGTAAACAGGAAGCAGTCATATACTCAGATATCTCGATGGCTTGCCAACTTGGTATCTTTATGATCAGGGTTCCTCGCCTTTAGAATATTTTCGATAACGAAAAAGCAGAAAATTGGCCAAGTCAAGGACTTCAAGTTAGCCCCAAGAGGTGCTTGAAACGATCAGGAAAGAGCTTCAATTCAAGTTTGAAGAAACAAAAATGTGAAAACCCAAATCCAAAAAGAAAATTACGAAACCCAATTATGGCAGATAAAAGTTCTTAACCCCTTTAAAAAACCTGCCGTAAAACTGTTGCTGTCGTAGCTGTGAACTACAGTTGAATAAGGAAACAGTTGCTCATTTTCTTTATGAGTGTCCAGCTCTCAGATATATTTTCCACAATGAACTTATCGGATATAGAGAAGGAGTTTCATGGAGAAAGCTATGTGGTACGAAAGCAACGATGGAAAGTGCATCCAAATGGCGCTGCCTATGAATCTATCTAGTTACACTCATTTAGAAGATTGTAATCTTGATGTTGGCTCCACAAGCCGTAATATTATATTTCCTTAACAACACAAACCTCGTTTGACCAGCGTCAGTTTACATAAACATATGAGATTCGCGGCGATACCAAATTCAGACATAGCGGTATATTGGCATCTTTATTTCATGCTGTCGAAATTCGCTTTGAAATCGATGAAAATATGAGTGCCTTTACAATTTTCCAGAGTTTGGAATGTCTACACTACACCACCATCTTCATGGATTGAGGGTTTGGACGCGTTATTTCCACCAGAGTTATATGCACAATAATGAAGGATATACAATTAATACACTTACAAACGGAGTACTCTCTACACATCGGTAATAACATCACCGATACCTTCCAATAAAATTCGGTCTCTGTTTTTGGTAGAAATACCCAGGGAGCAGAAGTGTAAGTCGGAAAAAATGGTTGGCTGCCAGTTGGGATTGCAGGTTTTCATCATCGAATCGAAGAGACCAAGTCTACCCGAATGATTTCCAGACTTCCGTTGAAGCGATTTTCGGTCGAGCTCGTCATCCAATTTGTGGTTTTGCATCCTGATGTCTTTCCCCGAAATGGAGGGACCCACTAAGCCACCTTCGAACGGTTTTTATATAAGGAGTTTTTTTATTTCATGTCAGAAATTCGCTCGGAGGGGTTGACATTCCCTATCTTCCAGATGTTGGTCGTACTAGGATTTGAACTCAAGCCTTCCGAATGGCATTACGCAACGCTAATCACTAGGCAACCGCGACCGCCGTTTAAATTGTCAAGCATTATTCCAACGACGTGGCGAGGTCAGCGCTTATAATAAATGAAGTAGAAGCAGTTGAAAATGGTGTTCTTACATTTCTACACACAAGCAGCCATATAATACATCATATAGGTATTGAATGCGCCCACTTTGACGTTAAACTAAAGGGACGCTTTTTTATCGGCTTCGTGTTTTTCAATTTTCTACACCAATTACTCTACAGATTAAATAAAAATAATTTTAGATATTATATGTACGTTCCTGCCAAGTGCTTAAAGATTGATTTGGCACAATAAACAAATAACCAACCAAAACAAATAATAAAAATCATAAACAATAAGAAAACAAGCAGCGATGTAATGAGCGAGCAAAGCTCAAATCAAGCAGAGCAACGACATTCACTTACGGCAGTGTAGACAAATGCCTATTTCACTGTGGTTGCCCAAAGATCTCCACCGAACAGCAATAGAGCGAAAACCAACGGGTTATTGCTAGTAACAGCAACGCAAACCAACAGTTCAGCGACAGCAGAATAGCCAAAGAGTGTAATGCACTCTTTTACTATAGCGGCAGCAGAGAAACAAGCGCATACAAAAACGAGCAGCGCAGCAGACAGCAGAAAGTGAGACCGCCAAAAAGTAAACAGGGTCGGCAGTTCACACTGGTATTGATCCATACATAAATGTCACACGCACAAAGAGAAAATAAACTCCAGCAAAAACAAGTAAGCAATGCAAAAAGGTTAGCTCAATGGACTCCGCTGTGGAAGCTGAAAATAATACCTGAAAAGGTAATATATTTGCACCGGTACGTTCTGAAGAAACAAAAGTTGAGTCGAAGGGAGCATCCGCCGTCACCAATACCTAGCCTCCATCAATCAACTCGCTTGTATGTAAATGAACAAATTTAATTGATACCAACAAATTCTACATTGTACCGCTTAAAAGGGAAATATTGATGAGTCGTAAATACAAGAACAAAACGAAAAACACTTTCGTGATGTCGTTACATTTCTCTCAGCAAACATAAAAGAAAAATTACTATTCTTACCAGCTGAAGAGCGCAAAAGGACTGATTGTAGTTATATTTAAAAGGAATAAAAAGGAGCTCTAGGCTTTGATCCAAGGGCGTTAGTTAACATAATTAATAACAACCCAGAAGAAACCATGTTTAATGATTTTTTTCAAATATCAATCTACAATATTCCTGTTACGAAACACTAATTTACATAACTCTTAAAAACAAGGTTGACTTTACCTTGGTCCTGATATACACCAAATCAGGTAAAACAAGGAAGATGGCAAAAAAAAAAAAAAATGAGTAAGAAAGTGGAATTAAATACTAAAAATTGTTTCGTTTTCGAAACCTTGCAAAAACTTTAAGTCCCCGGCAAATACTGAAGCACCATTGAGACTGCGTAGTGGTTTATGGGCCAAAACGGGTGAAGAAATTGCGACTTACCGCATTATACAGCTCCAAGGTAAGCTGCTTAATCTGGGGACGACAAATTTCCGCCAAAAGTTGCAGCTCAAACTCGAGTTCGCCGATTTACATTAACTTTTCAACAAAATATGGATTAATGGAATACAGTTAAGGGGCACCGCTTGCGCTGTTCAAAAGTCCAAACGAAAACGTCAAGAGTAATAACGGTCGCACCAAGGTACATGCGTAATGAAAATATCCATGGAAATCTAAATATACCCACCATCAACGAGTCGAATCCGCCTGCGGAGTAGAGACCAACCAAACTTGTAAAATGCAACACGTTAAGCCAGCAGCCTATTCCTACTAATGGGCTTTACGTTTTAGTTTGGTTTAAGATTTTATAACTTATTGTTAGGCTTCTGAAGTCGATGAAGATTTAATAAATAAATCCTAATGTTAATAAGAAAGGAATGTTGTATTAATTATTATCCATTGAAGTGCTATTGCCATATTACTTTAGCCAAACCCCTCACTTTGTGCGCTTAACTTCACTAGACTACCCACGACATTTAACTATACCCTGCAGAGAAAGTTATTACTTGTTAACTAGAGACAAAGAGGATTGGATTTTTGCACTAGCTACTTCATCTACCAGCTATTTTGCATGTAAGCAACTGATAGTTTTAAAACGACGACATTTCAATTGTCCTACTATGCATCAGCTT